TCTTATTTTACCCAGAATGCATTGCAGTGTAGTCCTACTTAAGATAGTCAGAGTCTTAAGTGCTTTGTGCAACGGTCTAATTTAAATGTCTATCTGAAGTCTGACTTTCTACTATATCTAAGCCATAGTCAAAGTCTATCTTTGTGAAACCGGTGGTGTTGAAATTGGAAGTGGGCGGAGTCACAGATCAAAACATAAACAGACATTCCAACACGTGGTGATCATGTGGGACTGGAGTGGGTGGAAAACTGAAGGAGCACTCGTTGTTGAAAGATGAGATTAGCTTGTAAACACTATAACAAGTCTGACCTGCTCTGTTCAATTAAAGAAATTACGCTAAGCACATTCTCATAATTGCCCTTTTTTCCCTTTTTTTTTCAAACCAGGAAAGATTAGTTGAATAATCAAACTAAATCTAAAAATTGTATGAACCTTAAGCTACTTTCCACTCAATTATTTTATAGTCTAATGATTGCTTGGTTAATTTTTATTTATTTTTTTAGATCGAAACAATTATTATGAATTTTACATACAACTATAATAATCTATAATAGTAATAAACCATTTTAATATGTTAAGGCTATCAAAATGGTCTTCCGTGATATACTGTTGTTTCTATTTCTTCTGTGAACTCCATTAGAGTTCACCGTCATGTTGGTGGTATTTTTTAAGCGTGTTATTTTAAATTTTTAATTCATTGTATTTTACTTTATTTATTTTGTTGATGTGTCTGTGAATAGTGTGTTCTTATAAGATTTGAGGGGCCGTTTGCACGACACTCCTTTCGACTTAAAACTGCGTTTCGGGGCCTAAAAAGACACGTTTTAAAACGGGTTTCAAAGTGCAAGTTTTTGAAAACAATGCTGTTACCATCTCGGTGTAAACTAAGATGAACAAACAAAGACAATACAATACCAGAGTGACAGACATGACATTTAAAGTCCAAAAATACTCGTCTTGCATTACGTAATCACGTTAAAAGGTCACGGATGCGGCGTCACATAGGTGGAATTACCAAAATTCAAAATAAAAAAATAAAAGGTAAAACTATGATGTCGGACAATTTTGAAGTTGAAGGAGAAAATGAGATGGAGATTTGCACCCTACCGCCGTACTTCTGCCTTTCAACGTGATTACATGATGTGTGTCGCATCACAGAGCTAGTGCAGACGAGCATTTTTGGTTAAAAAGTATCATATATATATATATATATATATAATAATTTTGTTTTTAGAAAGTGACCTATCATTTCTCTAGATAATCCCCTTATTCCTCGGCTGGGATCATGTAGAGACTTTTGAAGCGGCACTCAAACTAACATTTGGACCCCATTGGAGAAACATTTTCCACTAAAACCTTAATCTCTTTTCGACTGAAGAAAGAAAGACATTTTTATTTGATAGTCAAGAGGTTTCTGGCAACTCCTGTTCTCTTTATATGATTTATTATCAACCATAATTTGCATACTTTAAGTTTGGGACCGGACCTCTAAGATGGCACTGCCCCCTATAATGTAGATAAGACCCCTACAGAGGCCTTGCTAGACTTGCACGGGCTGTTTTACAGAAACTTATGCCTATAGTCTCAGGCTAAAACGCATGTTTCTGCTATTTCAACTGAAGGCAATTTGCACTGATTAGTCATCAATGCCATTGTTTTGTCTCAAGATGTACATTAGTAATGTTTTATTCTAAGGCACTTTATAAAAGCTAAGACTTAATCTAAGCCCTGTCTGTGAAACCAGGCCTAAAAGTTCAATTTCTTGAGTGAAATTACAATTACAAAGCATTCATGCCTGACATGTTTTGATGAACAATAGTCATGCGGTGTTCGTTCATACCCAAAAAAACAGTCAAGCTATTATCTCAGAAAAAAAAAAAAAAAAAACTAACTAACTGCTTTAAACACACTGGGAATGCATTAACGTCACTTTCCGGCCGGAACACGCCCCCCTCAGCCGGACTGAGTGGCAAAAGAGCTGCTGCGTGACTGGAGTTAAAGCTGCAGTAGGGAGTTTTGAGAAAACGTTGACTTAGCCTGAAAATTTGAACAAGCACAACTTACAGGTCCCACCCCCTTGCTCTCTGCTGCGCTACAGCCCTCCCTCCACAGCTCGTCCTCCACAGCGGAGCCTGTCGTGAACGCGCAGGCTAGTAAACAGGGCCACCCATAACAGCGGATAAAAAGTGATATGGCACATTCACTAATAGGAACTAAACATCAACAATATGCTTTACATTGACTATGGCCTGCCCATACTTTGACTACAAACTTGGTCCTCAAATCATTATGTATTTTGCAATAGCCTACATGTAACTTTATAACGTTGCACTCTTTCTATAAGTTATAAATAGCTAGTAAGATAACGTTAATATAACGGTAACTAACGTTACAGTATGTAAGTAATTATTCTAGCGATATATAATGCTAGATAAGGTGTGCTAGTAGATTATTTCAGCAACATGACAAGCCAGTGAATTAGCAGGTTTCAATTGTTGCTTAGCAGAGAGCGTGACATTTCATCTACATGTTATGCGGCTAGAGTTTTGACACCGAGTCAATGGGCTCTGTGTAATTCTTTCTTTTTCGCTTGTTTATCGTCATCAGTCTTTTTCCTTTTACCTCTTTGTTTTATGAGCAGGTGTCACTCGAGAATTGGCAGTTTAGGTTGTTTCTCCGTCATAAGCACAGCTGCAGCACGCCGGCAATCTTGAGTTTGAACGACGGCTCGCGCTGTGCAAGAGAGGGGTGTGATCAGCGCGTACACGAGCGTGATTGACACTGCTAAGACATTCCTCCTGGCTCTGATTGGTTGTTTCTGACCGGGAGCGTGTATTTCTGCAAATGGCAATAGGACCACTAGGAGGAGCCAGAGGAGCTTGATTTTTTTCACAGATTATCGGTCTCATATTCTACTGTCAGGACATAATGACAGTTTTAACAAATATGTAAAAAATATTTTTTACAAAAGTTACCTACAGCAGCTTTAATAGATGGGTTTCCGTTTCTCTAATTACCCATTATCCTCTGCGGCGCGCAGCCATGTTGTGTGTCAAAGCTGTCATGCTCATGTTTACCGCCTATTCATTTACCCAAGTATTTTTGACTCTTTTGTGTTGAGATAACGATGACAAATTCCTCCAAACCTGGCGACAAGGTGAAGGTTATTTACAGGGACACATTAGACGATGTTTGCAAGGCAAGATATGATGAGAAATTGAGTTATATCGATAGAAAGGATCCTTACACAATGTCGGAAGAGGACTTCATGTAATTTTTTTGTATGTGTTTTAAATCTGTGTGTTATTCGTTCAATCAAATTTTTGTCCCGCCAAAGTCTTATTTGGTCGGTGAGTAATGTAGATGAACTGCTGCGCTTGTGACAGGACGGATGTTTAACTGAAAGAACGAGCAGAAAGAGAGAGAGAGCCGGTCGCGCGCGCGCACTCCCTCTCTCTTCGGAGCCAGGCGAAAGTGTAAACAAGACTTCACCGTCTCCAAACTAAGCGCTGTCTTGCTCTCACTCCCTCGTGGAAAAGTTAGTTAATATTTAAACTTGAATCAAATGTATTGTATGAAATGTTTTTTTAGAGCATGCACTGTATCAATTTGATATATTTTTAATCCTAATGTACCAAACTTCACAATACGTCTGTGCCACATCTATAACTAACATACAATACACATTTTTTTTCATATTTTATTATAATGTACAGAAGAGAGTGAATATTTACAGTTTAACTTTGTATGTTCTTTTTAGTGTGGAGGGAGAAGAGGTGCTGGGATTATCTTTGTTCACCCAGAAACGCAGTCATTATTAAGCCAATTTATCACTGTAATAAAATATAGAACTATATAGTCGTTTTAAATCGACAACATGTGCGTACGGCTCGCATGCATTTAATGTATTTGTGTGTATTCTTCTCTGGGCGTACTGTAGTCGCTTGTGTGTTTTTGCACTGACAAGGAGCCATGATCAATGATCAATAATCATGAAAATAAAACAACGTAGAATTAAAGGAACTCAGCTGTTTATCAATTTACCTGAGATAAAATGATCGGAGCAGACTTTATAGTGTCTAAGGTTAACAAAGATGAACAAATACAGTAACAAATGTATTGCTCATGGTTAGTTCATGTAAGTTAATACATTAACTAATGAACCTTATTGTAAAGTGTTACCTTATCATGCTCCATAACACAAACGCTTGAGCCACTTGACACACAAGATGGCGCCGTAAGGAGTTACGGGAGAAATGTGACGTCATCGGGGAAACTGCGAAAACGCGAGTAAAACAAACTATTATCAGTTTAAACTAAAAGTTGGACTCGATATAGTGTTCCTTACAACTTATCAAAGATCCAGTGATCCATAGATATTGACATGCAGCCAGGAATCGTGTTTCCTGACATTTATATGTGGCTGATTTCGACGCCGGGGAAATAAATGAAGACAATTTGCCTGTAAACGTTTTATATAAATACAATATAGATAGGTCTAAATCCGAGTGATCACTTACATTAATGTTATACTGTATATCATCATATCGTCCAGCCCTAAAACTTGTATAGTTTTTTGTCAGTGTTTATTTAAAAACATCCAATTATGCAGAATATAGTCTGTTCTGTAGCTTTTTGCAGTCTGTAAAAATATACAGTACCTCAGATTTCTGGTCAAATCTAGTTGTACAGTCAATCGCAAAGCTCTTTCCCGTTTTAGATGTGTTTTGTGTGATTTTCACGGCATTCACGCTGAAAACAAATGCTGCCGCTCTGTCTTTTTGCCACTTGTGGGCGTGACCGCATTCTCTCCGGCCGACGGTGACGTCATGCACATACCCTTATAATGAATAGGAAAGAATTCACACCTTTTCTTGTAGCAACAGCTGGTTTTGGCTGTTTTTAAACAGCTTTATGCCTTGTCTTCACATTGATGCAACCAGCAAACCAAATGTTTATTCAGTCATGCATGTTGCCACCAGATAAACAATAAGAGTCTTTTTTCTCAGGTGAAACTATGCCAACATGATGATGGATCTTTAGGTGGAGGGTCACGGGTGTGACGCATCATAACCTGACCAGTGACTTTGAGGAAGCGCTTTAATAGAGATGCACACCCACTCGTAACAGTTGATCTCCATCATTTGGTGAACGAACACGAGTCTGTCTTTCGTCTTCAGGTGAGTGCAGTTTTTGAGATTGTTCAATTTTAGCTAGATTACTTCACTCTAAAAAATGGGTTGTTTCAACCCAAATTTGGGTCAAATATGGACAAACCCAAATGCTGGGTTAAAAATGCAATTAAAAAATTTACAGTTGAAAGTAAAAGTTGAAGTTGGGTTAAAATTTGAAATTACATTTTTAACCCAACATTTGGGTGTGTCCATATTTTACCCAAATTTGGGTTAAAACAACCCAGCATTGTTTAGAGTGTTGGTACAAATTACATGTTTAAAATTGCAGTATATAATCCATTACATGACACATTTGAGGTAATATATTCTGACTGCTTTTAGATTACTTTTAACGTAACTTTTAGCCTTAACTCGTTTATCACATAGATTTAAATAGGATAATCTTGAACTATAGTGATTGTAAAAATACAAAAAGAAAAAGAAAAAACAGCACAAAAATCAACAAAGTAAAGTGCATTAAACGTTCTGGGTTTCCCAAACGGGGGTTTGAACTGCAGGGAGTTCGTTGATGAAAAGATCATAATCATTTAAACCATAAAAATGTAAGATTTTCAAATAATAACAATCAAAATAAAACACAAAAAAGATTAAATATTTTATTGTTTATGCAGAGTAATTCCACAAAACTGGAAGACAAACAATATTCTGTTTTGCAAAGGACAGTTTAAAAGAATTACTGAGAGTCAGTCAATTATGAATAATTTACTGCCATTTTGTGAACATTACATAATTGTGTAATCACTGAAAATGAGTATTTTAAACCGTAATATAATATAATTACAAGTATATCATTTTTGGAACCTGATTACGTAATCCATTACACACTGTGTCTCTCTATGCGCAATATCTAGCTTAGTTTTTCAAGAATAACCTGTCTTTAAAACAACACTGGAACACTATTGTTTAAAAATGATAAATCACCATATGACATGTTTTTCAATGAGCACTTTTGTGCTGATGCTAATGAAAAATAGATGGTTCTTGATAAAAAAAATAAAGGTTCTGGTTCCGTGAAGAACATCCATGGAATCGTTCCATTCCACAAAGTGGAAAGCTCTTCAGATTAAAAAAAAAAATTCTTCATACTGAGAGAAAAAAAGGTTATTTTAACAACTGTTCGCTGAAAGGTTCTTTTGGGGAACCAAAAAAATGGTTCTTCTTATGGCATCGTTTACAAATAAAGGATTCAAGTTTGTTTACACCAACAACAAAAAAAATGGATCAGCTATGACTAATTAATTAGATGTAAATTCAGCACATTCTTAAATCAAGACGCAGTTAAGCAAATTACATATGATAACAAGTGTATTACAATTATGTGACTCTACTCTACTTTAAAAGGTAAAGTGAAAAAATGAGTAGATTAAAGTATAAAGTAAGGCCGATATTTTTCTTGTTTTAAGCATAAAGTCTCTTAATGTTGTTGTTGCAGTTTTTAAGAAAACAAGACTTATATCTGCATGTATCTTGATAACAATGTTTCGATATGGATTTTTTTTTTTTTGTCTTTGTGTTCTTGTGTCTGTTGAAGGATTTGGCCAAATAAACAGGATGACTTCTCAACAGCCAAAGGCCTTCGTCATGTCACACACTTCCAACCAGTGGAGCTCTGGAATCTGTGACTGCTGTCAGGATGTACCAGAGTGTGAGTGTCTCTCTCTCTCTCTCTCTCTCTCTCTCTCTCTCTCTCTCTCTCTCTCTCTCTCTCTCTCGGTTTTGTTGATTTTGGCGTGTCACTAGAATGTCACTCTGTAACTATACAATAGTATTGCTAAATCTAGCTGACACATCATCATTGTACATCACTGAAATATGTGTATTAAAGGTTCTCCGGAGGTGTGCCAGAATAAGGGATAATGTGTAATCACTTTTTACTGTAATTACTGGTGACTGTACATTAAGTCTGTCATTATTTATAAACTGAGCAGGAAACGGAAAAGTCTTCTTCCTTATATGATGCATATCCGAGTGAAACTGCTTCTCAAACCAGAAAAACTGTAGGGCAGGACTTGATTGGATCGTTGGGTCATTATTGTCTTGCTGTGACAGGTTGTCCCGCATTCACGCTAGGGATGCACGATATAGGATTTTGGCCGATATTCGATATGCCGATATTTTCAGACTAATTTTGCCGATACCGATACCGATATATTTGTGTGTTTTTTTAAGTGCAAAAAAAGCTTATTAAAGCTTCTATTAAAGTTCTCAGTCAAGAGCAGTGAGTGATTTCCTCTTTGTGTTTTGTTGTTTTATTAACATTAACAAGATAGTTCTCCCCAAAATTTAAATTGTCATCATTTACTCTCTCAAGTTTCTTTCTTCTGTTGAAATTATAAAAGTTATTTGGAAGAATGTGGCTGACCAAACAGTTGCTATACTCCAGTGACTTCCATAGTATATTTAAGCACAAGAAAGAAATGAATACAGGTTTGGAACAACATTAGAGTGAGTAAATAATGACAGAATTTGTATTTCTGGGTGCAGTATCTCTTTAAGGACAAGCGGCAGCATATTATTACTGTCTCTTTAAGGGCCGTTACATAGTCAACGCGAGCAACGCGAGCAAGCAACGCGAGCGACGCGAGCTACGCGCTCCTTTTCATAGTACACAAGCGTCACCGGCGATGCGTGAAATGCAATACACCGATCGCGCAGCAGGGGGTAGTAGAGTCTAGAGTCGGGTCACGTAATATTCAGATCAAAATGGCAACTGAAGAGGAGTGCATATTGCTGATTTTACATCGGCGGCAACAATGGATGTATACGAACAAGCTCGCATAACTTTTCCTCTTCGCCCGGCATTGTATTCAAATCTTCTTCTTCTGTAAACATAATAATATACCTTTTTATGTACATTACTTGCAATGTCGCCCCCACCGACAACGCATAGTATTGCGTGCATCGGCGCGTCGCGTATCAAAAACTAGGATGACACATTTGGCTACGCATCGACGCATAATGGCGGCCGAAGCGTAGCGATGTGTAGCCTTGCGCACGCGTATGCGTACCGATGCGTTGACTATGTAAGGGCCCTAAGAGCTGCACGCGACGCGTCTAATATACACTTATTTGACAAGCAGATTTTCTCTGTTTGCTTTCACTTTAGACATAACCAACTTTGTGTAAACCATATGTGTATTTGACAGTATCAGCGCAATAAGACTCGAAAGATTAGTCCAGTATGCAGGCGCTGTGACAGGCTTTTAGTTCCTGTGAGCGTCGGGTGTACGCGCTCAGAAAAGCGCATGTTAGAACAGCGCATCAGCACGTGAATGACATGTTTAACTAGCAAGACTTTGACGCACATGCAAATAATGAACTTTTGTGAATTGCGGTGTCCCGTGACCGTGAGTGTAAAGGCCTGTTCACACCGGGACGAATTTCACACGCGTTATTCGCCGACGTTTAACGCCTCGTGACTAAACAAAGGGCGCCTATGTGAGTGTGCACACCGAGGCGAAAAACGCCACGCGTAAAAGCGTAATTTTTTTTTAAAACGCCTCGGGTTCGTTTTTTTGGTTTGACGCGCCGCGTCAAAAACTATCCGACCAATGAGATTGGCGCTTTTGCTCACGTGTCTGGAGCTTCTGAAGTTACAGTAAAACACAACTTGGGGGCGCTCAAACACAAAACGGTCTTGCCGAGCACACATACGTGGCGAAGAAGATGCGCCAAGTAGCGTTTACACCATAGATATCCATAATAAAGGTTAGATGTCTCGTCCGCGCTGCTGGCCAATGGCCTTTATTATGGATATATATGGTCTACACTGCCGGGAAGAAATAAGACGAGGAAGATGCAAGGCAAGATGAATGTAGAGCTGCTGGTCTCGTTGGTGTCGGAACATAAAGAACTATATGACAAACGCGACAGCGACTACAAAATAGGACTATTTCTGTTTTACATTAAGCGCCATCTAATGTCAGGGAATGAATTTGCATGTTCACTCGGCTCAACGTCAGCGAAAATCGCTTGGGTGTGAACACAAAAAACGCGTTGAAAAACGCTGACGAATAACGCGCGCCGATATTCGTCCCGGTGTGTACGAGCCTTAACTCTACCTCTGCGTTTACATGTGATGTGAATGTACCTCGCGTTGTACAGTATGTTGAGATGAAGGCGCCAGAATTGAACTGATAGAATGCACGATACTATGATTTTTCTTCAAAAGCAGATCATGGAGACATTTTAATCGTCCACGATCAAAAACCGTGATTATCGCACACCCCTAGTTGGACTAAGTTGCTCCACACTTTAAGTTGCTGGCGCTCTTGCTTCGTTCGCGTCACGTGCCCATAGGAAACACGCCACCCTTTCGGCAAGGCTCATCGGCAGAAATATTCATACCGATGTTGTCCCGATATCATCGTGCATCCCTAATTCACGCACGGATGAATCATTTATAATAAATATTGCAATTATTCCATAAAAAAATAAAGAATTGTCAATTTTGATTTCATGGTGAGGGCTGCATTATACAGTATATATAGTTTTAGCATCGATATGTATGTGCGCATCCAAAGATGGTTGTTGATCCGTACAGACCAGGCAACAAGACTCGAAAAGCACACGATTCTCTGATTGTTTGAAAAGTTTAACCATCATAGAGCGAAAGTGTATCATTTGGACGTGTTTTAGGTCCTGTCAGTTTAAACATTTAAGGGATTTTAAACCATTTGAGTGCAAGAAGACGTGAAAGAGAATTCAATTCGGAACCGAATTCAGTTCTTTTTCACGTCTTTTTATGCTTGAATGGACACACACACATGCCCGTCTGGGGAGAACGTAAACTATTGAGAAAGAAAACGGATGCGTATCGTTCTTTTGGATCCGTGCATTCGGTCTTAACCCTCTAGGCGCCGCGGTCGAGTTTACTCGACAAGATGCGGCACTGAATAAAACGGCCGATTTTGTCAAATTCGAGTTAGAGCGCATTGAATCAGTGCGATCATAAGCAGAGCTAGTGTGCGAGTGAGCCATGTTATCAGAGCCTCTCCGCAATCGCGGCGACAGTATTGTGGTGGAGACTTTGTCTAATACCACTGGGTATGTTAGACGAGGTCAAAGTATTCATAGGACAGTTAGGGGTCAACGTGGAGGCAGGGTGAGGAGTCGCAATGACAATGACAGCAGTCCGAGCTGTGCACACTCGAGGCAGATCTGGCCGCGCTGCTCGTATCATCTCACTCATGATCCGTGCCTTGCTGTGGCGAGTGAGCGTTTGAACTAAACAGGTCGTGTCTACTTGTGTTTGTATGTCATATGAATAATATATATGTGCCCCATACATGGAATCAGAGTGCCTACTGTATTTAGTAAATGGAAAATCTCTACAGCAAAAGGCCAACCACTACATGCATTCGGTTTGTTTCTACCATTTATTAGTAATGATTTACACAGTTTGTTTACTACGTACTATATACCTGAGCATTCAGTATTGTGCAATATAGCATACAGAAGGTGATGGACATTTTGGGGGGAAAGAAGTGCTGCATTTTATCATTTAAACATGTGACTTTTCATGAAAATTCTATAATCCAAGATTGCGGCCACCATATGACGTCATAATATGCAAATTAGATGGGAAACTATGACAGCGGCCAAATAAACCTGAGTCATGTTAATCAAACACAAAATCAAAGAGAAAATGACTTTTGTAGCTTTAACAACGATTAATTTTATTTCATTTAAACAGAGATTGTTATTTTACATTTGGTAACTTGGTAAGGGTTTCAAAATGAGCGCATTGGAAATGAATGGGAGACAAAGTGTATCTAGTGGAAACTTTTGGTACTGCGGCCAAACAAAATCTTACTTAAAGCTATTTTTTTGAGATATAACTTGTTTAGATTCACAATTTGTTGAAATTTGTTGAGTAAAACGTGATTTTGAAAGTGAAAATAGTATTTTTGTGCATTTTTCATAATAATAATACACGTAAAATTCTGTTACTTTATAAAACTTTTTTCTCTTCAGAAATATTATGCCATGTGTCGTCTTTGAAAAGAGATCAAACAAGTCTGTCCTCTAAAGCATTCAAGATTTACGACAGTTTAAGTTGGAAAATAAATGTTCAGGCTCAAAAAGTGAATAAATAAATAGCGTAAATATAATTTAGTATGAAAAAAAAATCCCTTAAAAATACACAATATTAAATAAAAAACATTAGCAAACTAAAATATAGTACATATCATTGACAAAAAAAAAAAAAATGCGAAGAGCACCAGAGGGTTAAAAAAACAAATGGTTAAACAAATGTGAGATGTCAATGCTGCTTCCAACTCTTTCACATCTTGATTCCTCTCATCACTAACGGTCGTGTTATTTTGTAGGTTGTTTTTCATTTTGGTGCTTCCCCTGTTTTGCGTGTTCGACGGCTCGCAAGCATGGCGAGTGTCTGTGTCTGCCTTTGCTGGACGGATTTGGAGGAGGATGCATTCCTCCAATAACGCTGGCGATGCGGGTGTCCGTGCGCACTCGCTATGGGATCCAGGTTTGTTTTAAAGCCAGTTCTAGCCATCTAAAACTGTTTAACATCTGGAGAACTCATCGTGTTTCTCTCTCTCTCTCTAGGACTCTATCTGTAATGACTGTGCGTACTCCACCTTCTGTGGTGTCTGCTCCTGGTGTCAGATATCCCGGGAAATGAATGTCCGTGAGCAAAATGTCACATTCATCAACGGGCGAGCAAAATGAAGGTCCTAACTTGCAACCTACAACTGCCTCTTTTTTTCTCAGTTACAAATGAAATGACTCTCATTCTTCTCTGTGACATTAGATCTACACCGTTGTATTTGATCCATTTACAGGCAAATCCAGTTTTTTCCGGCACAATTGTGAGATTTTGGCCTTTCTTCTTTCAGACTAGTGGAAATAAAACACGCAAAATACACATTTAAGTGTTTATTTGATTTCCTTTTATCGATTTGCATCTGTGAATTTCAATTGCAATACGTGTCTTTAAAGGCTGTTTTATCAACAACAAAAAAATTTGTTTTACTTACTTAGACCAAACTTTACAGTTTTGCTCCTTTTTATATTCTAAATGTTTTTATAACATTTTATTCCTAAAAGTTTTAGGGAATTTTTTTTTCCAGCTTGTTGACATTTTCTGATTTACGAAAATTGAAAAGAGAAATCCAAAATCTCTGTTCTGGAATTGTATGCAAAATCATATTTATTTATATAATGCCTCATTTGCATATTTAAAGAAACAAATCTGAAAATTTGTAGTACAAAAGTATTGTTTTATTGTACTGTGATTAATCATCTGGTGGAAGTATGGTGATATCTATTAGTTTATTGTCTTAATCTATTGCCTTAATAAAAACAGTCTGATGGTCATCTGGTGTGTCTATATTTTAGTATCCGTTAAAAAATGTTTACTTAAAGTGATAGTTCACCCAAAAATTAAAATTAAAGATTATTTCTCACCCTCATGCCATTCCAAACTCATAATAAGACTTTCAATCATCTTCAAAACACACATGAATATATTTTGTCCCTCCATTTAAAGTGTATTCATCTAAAACTCGGTTCATAAAGAGATTGTAAAATGAATTGAGCAGTTTAATCAAAGTCTTCTGAAGAGACCCAATCGCTTTATATAGTGAACCGATATAATTTAGCCATTATTTTATTTAGGCATATAGATTTTGATCAATGCACGGACATAGTGTATAAATCTGGTAAATGTAAAGGTGCGTTCACATCTTCATAAAGTTCGTAATTACCGGTACATGTTAATTAGCACGTTTGAGCTTCTGCAAGAACCAATGAGGTTTGTTCCTTCGTGTCAAGTCAAGTCACCTTCATTTATAGCGCTTTTAACAATATGGATTGTTTTAAAGCAGCTTTACAGTGATAATAGGAAATTACAGTAGCAGATTGTTTTGGCTTTACAGCAGCTCTAGGATAAAGTTATTGTCCAGCTAAAGTTAGTTTTGATTGATAGATTCACCTCCGTTGTGAAGTTCATTCGTTATTAACTTAGGGGCCGCTAACACAACACCGTACTAGCAGTAAACTCTTAACGCGCTCCGGCCGCCCATCCGCACAAAACAGTGCCTGGTGTCTCGAGAACGCACTCCCTGAAATAGGTTCCAAGGTGCAAACGATTATCAGTTATCTCTGCGCAAAGTTAAAAGTTATCTCACTAGTTGACACTTCAGGATTGCGTTGTCGTCGTGTCCAGGCGCAGGTCGTTCATCAGATCTGGATACGGCCTGGATCCGGCGAACTGCGATAAACCTCAGGATAAACAGAGAGACTAATATTACCGTAGACGCCATCCTTATTATGATGTAACGAGTACATCAAGATTTATGGGAAGTGTTCCTGGTTCCGGCTGACCTAATCTATGCAGCCTAACATTGAATTATATAGGTCTATAATATGTTATGTGTATGCTAGGCCAAAGAGATGTGTTTTTAGTCTAGATTTGAACTGACAGAGTGTGTCTGCTTCCCGGACAATGTTAGGAAGACTGTTTCAGAGTTTTGGTGCTAAATAGGAAAAGGATCTCCCGCCCGCAGTCGATTTAGATATTCTAGGTATTATCAACTGGCCTGAATTTTGAGATCGCTATAGACGTGAAGGACTATAATGCGTTAAGAGCTCACTTAAGTACTGGAGAGCTAAACCATTTAGCGCTTTGTAATTAATCAGCAATATTTTAAAATGTATACGATGTTTAATAGGGAGCCAATGCAGTGTTGATAGAACCGGGCTAATATGGTCATACTTCCTGGTTCTGGTAAGAACTCGAGCTGCAGCGTTTTGAACTAGCTGTAGTTTGTTTATTAAGCGTGCAGGGCAACCACCCATAAGAGCATTACAATAATCTAGCCTTGAGGTCATGAACGCATGGACTAATTGTTCCGCATTTGTCATTGAGAACATATGACATAATTTAGATATATTTTTAAGATGGAAAAATGCGGTTTTACAGATACTAGAAACCTGAATTTCAAATGAAAGATTGGTATCAATGAGCACAAGCAGGTTCCTAACCGACGACGAAGACTTGACAGAGCAGCCATCAAGTGTTAGACAGTATTCTAGGTTATTACGTGTGGAAGTTTTTTGTCCAATAATTAGAATCTCTGTTTTTTCAGAATTAGGTAGTAGGAAATTACTAGTCATCCAATTTTTTATATCAGCTATGCATTCCGTTAATTTTGTGAATTGGTGCATTTCGTCAGGGCGTGAAGAAATATAGAGCTGAGTATCATCAGCGTAACAGTGAAAACTAATGCCATGCTTCCTAATGATATCTCCCAAGGGTAGCATGTACAGAGTGAGCAGCAGCGGTCCTAGTACTGAGCCTTGTGGTACGCCATACTGAACTTGTTCTCTTCATTTACTGCTATAAACTGATAACGATCAGATAAGTGATTTAAACCATGCTAAAGCAATTCCACTAATGCCAACATAATTTTCGAGTCTATTTAAAAGAATGTTGTGGTCAATAGTATCAAATGCAGCACTAAGATCTAGTAACACCAATAGCTAGATACAACCACGATCGGATGATAAGATGAGATGAGAGCTGTCTCAGTACTATGGTACTGTCTAAATCCTGACTGGAAATCCTCGCAGATATCATTTCTTTCTAAAAAGGAACATAGTTGTGAGGATACTGCCTTTTCTAGTATCTTTTACAGGAAAGGTAGATTCGAGATCGGCCTGTAATTCACTAATTCTGTAGGATCAAGTTCCGTTTTTTTAACAAGTGGTTTAATCATAGCCAGCTTAAATGTTTTTGGTACGTATCCTAAAGACAAAGATGAATTAATGATATTATGAAGATGATCTATGACCTCTGGAAACATCTCTTTCAGTAGCTTAGTCGGTATAGGGTCTAACATACATGTTGTCGATTTAGATGATTTAACGAGTTTAGAAAATTCTTCCTCTCCTATAGCAATGAATGAATCGAAATTTTTCCTTATGGAGACTACAATGCACTGCCTGATGCGATACTGTAGTAGACGGTTGCATAGTTATAATTTTCTCCCTGATATTATAAATTTTTTAAGTAAAGAAATTCATAAAGTCATTACTGGTGTGCTGCTTGGAAAAGTCTTGGCTTGAAGCTTTATTTTTTATTAGTTTAGCCACTGTTTCAAATAAATACCTCGGGTTTTGTTTATTTTCTTCTAACAGGGTTGAAAAATAGCTTTTAAGGCCTGTCTGTATGCGATCGGCTCTCCTTCCATGAAATGCGAAATACCTCTAATTTAGTTTTCTTCCGGTTTCGCTCCATTTTTCTGGCTGCTCTCTTAAGGGCCTGAGTGTGCTCGTTGTACCACAGCATTGGGCTATTTTCTTTTATCTTCTTTAACCGCAACGGAGCAACTGTGTCTGAAGTGCTGGAAAAGAGAGTTAAAAGTTTCTGTCGCAATATTGAGTTCTTCTAAGCGATGAAACTGATCAGGAAGATTATTAATAAAGCAATCTTTAGTGGCAGGTCTAACATGTTTGTAACACGGAGTTGCCTTTGCAGCCTTGGCTAAATGAAGTTTACACGAGACTAGATAATGATCTGAGATGTCATCGCTCTGCTGCAGAATTTCAACGGCATCAACATTGATTCTGTGTGATAATATTAGATCTAGAGTATGATTACGACAATGAGTAGGTCCTGACACGTGTTGTCTAACTCCAATAGAGTTCAGAATGTCTTTAGTGTTTTTTTTCTGTTTTGATTATTCTTATTTCTTTTGATTATTTTAATTTATTCTATGTAAAGCACTTTGAATTACCATTGTGAAATGTGCTATATAAATAAACTTGCCTTGCCTTGTCTTAAGCATGTACAGTTGAGCTCACATTTACCTTATTTGAATGATCTGTATATGTTCGCTGCTTATCAGTTTCATCAATATCACTTATCAATATGTGAATACGATTAAATCTGTCTCTTCAGAAGACTTTGATTAAACCGCTCGATTCATTTATTTAACAATCTCTTTATGAACATTTTGAACGATCAGACTTTCAATGGAGGGACAGAAATCTATCAGATTTCATTCGAAATATCTTTATTTGTGTTTCAAAGATGAAATAACGTCTTGTGGGTTTGAAAAGACATAAGAGTGAGTCATTGATGACAGAATTTAATTTTTTGGGGTGAACTAACCATTTAAACTTTGTACTGCTGCTTTGTGAAAATAAATATAAAATGCGTCAAACGATCCAAGTCTCCTGCCCTATAATGTGAGTTTCACTTTACCGGATTGGTTTAAGAATCACATCCCTGCAAAGAGCACAGAAGAACAAATATCCACACTGCACCATTTGTGATCACATCCTGAGATATGGTGATCGGCTGTGGGATGGGAGCAGGTGTGGGACACTGAGAACCATCTCAGACAATGGGATATTAACTGTTACAACAGGAGCAACTTCATTTACATTAAGAGCGGAGTTTATTATGTTACGGGTTCAGTCTCACTCCAAGGTGCTAACTGCACTTCACCGCTATTCTGCAATAAACTTCACCATTTTCATCTTAAAGATAGCCTATTTGTTTGATATCATTAAAATCATTCTTTTGATATAATACTCCATGCTGCTGGTTTCCCATAAAGAGGAAATGACAGTTAACTTGATTCTTTAAACACTCTTAAAAATAAAAAGTTCCAAAATGAACCTTTTTCACTGCGATTTTGTAAAATTTGAAAATATGATTAAAAGCCAAAAGCAGCA